AATCAAGAGCCACTTTCCACGGGCAATTTATTCGGCTGAAATATGTTACCGGTACTTGAGGATACTCGATACCTCTTGCTTTGAAGCAAACACGAAACCATCAAATTCAAACTGCGAACTGCTATTAATCGCCGTTCTCTCCCTTTATCTTTGCCGTTACACCCTTCTCTTGCGTGTATATATTTTCTCCTTTTCACGCGCGGAAATAAACGCGAGAATAAAATTCAGCAATGCAAGAGCGTGATGCCGGAATACAAATGTCCGCTAATTCGCTGCATCGCCCAGCGGTAATCTTATTCCGCGCTCTGATTGCGAACATTTGCTACTGCAGTTGCAGAATCATTGTATCCCGCTTTCGGAAATGTATCTTTTGATTCTTCGTCGGGAACAATTATATAGTCGTTGAGCTTGAAGAATTATGAGTACATCGAGAAGCGTAATAAAAAGATGTTTTGCAACTCCTTTCCATTAGGCGAATAAAAAGGGGAGAGATAAGGGAAAATACGAAGATTCAGGAGGACTCGCGTTTCAGAATGAAAAAGAATCAGCAAAAAGGCTCTTCGTTACTCATATAAAAATCAGGAAGGGAAGCGGCGATGTCAACCGTCCCGCGACTAAAATTCAATGAACAGCATCGCTGAATATCGGGTATCCCCGCATAGAAGGAACGTTATCGGGACTATTTACGAGCATGCAGAATCCGGAGCAAAGCCCACCCCTTGCTCTCTCCCTCCCTCTTCTTCCGTTTCTTCCTGCTTCTTCACAAAAAGCTACCCCCGATATCCAGCTTGCGTTCAGCGCTCCTTTTAGTTACTACAAGAAGGATAAATATACTCAAAAGAGTGGGAGTTATGTACCACCCACGCAAGCATTCAGACATATATGCGTAACTTATTCCTCGGCATTTAAAATTCCACCGAATCCCACGCTCGAGAGTATCCCATATCCCATATATAGTGGAGATACGTATTAATTTACCGATTCGTGGTAATTGGAGAATTTGAAAAATTAGGCATTTGCTTGATTTTATATAAAATATTATATTAATTTGGACATTATGAAACTAAAGTTCCGAAATTTAAAGATAATATTTTGAGATAATTAGAACTTCAAAAGTTCAAATTTTAGATCCGCAGAGAGCTGTCGACAAGGTAAGCTTCAACTCTCGAATCTAATTACTCGAGAATTCTAAATATCAAAGATCCAAGCGCGTAGACAGGAATTCGACGGTCCAGAGACTGCGCCGAACATATTCAAGGCGCACTTAGAGAATATCATCGCGACAAAGTTTCGTAAGACAATGCTAGATATATAGAAAACGTAAGAGAGATAAATAGATAGATAGATAGATAGATAGATAGATAAATAGAGAGAGAGAGAGAGAGAGAGAGAGAGATAGAGAGAGAGAGAGAGAGAAAGAGAGAGAAGAGAGAGTGAGAATCTCATCACTTTAGGTTCTAACCCATGGTACTAACTGACTAACGACCTTTCACGGTCCACTGCACACTACTGAAGTAATTAGCTGCGCTAACGAGAGATCGTTATGGCCAACCGCAGAGCTGCGGAAAAGGCGGCGATCTGTCCCTTGCGATGATCAATTGACGATCGTTATTTCACGCCGCGTGTCTCAGTCTATATATAATAGTCTCCAATATTCATTATTTAACTAAACGCACCGAGCTGGTAAGAGCCTCGCGTTATTAATATTACATGTTGCATATTAATAAGGAACCGCCATCTTGAGCTTGAGAGATACTCTCTTCGGTCCGTATTTAAAAATTTGCAAATCACGAGGAGCGCTTTCGGGACGGGTAGCAAAGACACCTTTTTTACGAATGTAGACCTCTGCTAAAAGATTCACCCGCGTTATGCAGCGCGCATCTGGAGCTCCGGACCGAAGATCAGAGGATCCCATCAGAGACCCTGGAATTCCGTGTCGTAAAATGCACGTACCTACTCATGGTACACGTATCTATCTGTACGCATACTGAGAGAGAGAGAGAGAGAGAGAGAGAGAGGTGGATGAGACCCTCCCAGTTTTTTTCCGGCGAGGTCGAAATCGATGGATGACAGACAGTTAATCGGGCCGACCGCTCCAGTTGGCGAAAACAAAAGCGGTGCGGCGGGGCCCCACCTGCGCGAAGGGCCTAGCGTTAAAAAAAAATAACAGCCCAGCGGTGATAAAACGATGATAAAACGCGTCGTTCCTCGTGAATGTATATCCGCATGACTGAGATAGGAAGCGGAAATGACACGGAGATAGCCATTAGTGCGCGATTTGGCGCCGAATTATTACCGCGCGTGAACGATTTTACTACCGCGGATAATCGCTTGAGAGAAAAATGAATTGCAGTTCTTGAAATCATCCGTTCGAGTGCATTCACGGATGTATATAGACTTTGTGACTTTTTGAATTAAAAATTTTCAATTTCTGAATCCTTTAAATTTTAAGACTATTCAGTTCTATATATTAAAAAAAAAGTTTCTTTAAAATCTCGAATTTTTTTTTAGAATTTTCATTTAAATAATTAATTTTTGTAATTGACAAGTACAAAATGATCGTTTGGAAATAAACTCGGTTTGTCAATCAACTTATTCCATTGTCACCAGAAACAATGGAAGGTGAAGGAAAGAGTGAGGAAAATCGACGTAAAAAAATATCGCGTTCAAGAGATTCGTTGGGAAGTAATTAAAAATTACGTGCCCGCTCGTGGAGGATTATGTTCCGGCGAGAAAAATGGTGAACGTGAGGGACCGCGCCGTGGGGGGGAGTGTCACGAGCACTTAACTTTTCTTTTCATGGCCGAGTTTGTTTCGTCTTTAAGAGGCGAGCGAGCGCGCTTCCAGTGGTGATGGCCGCATACGAAGGGGCGCGAGAGTCGTAATTGAGGGTCGACGCCCTTAGGGACCTCCGGGGACCTCGTATTCCAAGCGCTCTCCCAACCTTGGCGCTTCAAATTGCGCGAGCCTTCGATTACGGAATACGTAAATCGCGAGACGGTTAGAATTCCTATTTGCATTCGGGGGATCATTGCGCGTTTGTCAACGCGCGGCGCGGCGCACACCGGTGCTTTCTGAACTTCCACGGGTAAACTCGCGTCGCGACGGAGAATTGATATTTCCGCTTCGCTAAAAGTGTAATTCGATCTATTTTCCGCGGCACCTTCAATTACGTATTGTTCCCGCATAGCGAGAAAATGCGCGAAGCGTACGCGTTTGCGTATTAATAACTAAATATTCCCTCCCTCGCGTACAAACAAACTGTTATTCGTTAGTCAAACATTTACTAACTCCGGGCAGGAAAACATATTTCTAACCGATTAATTCTGCATCGATGAAATTTATTGAAAACTCTGATGCCTCCGCGCCGCCGCGTGCGATAAATTCCGTCGCGTCTCGCGAAAACATATTTCGAGAGAAACAACGGTGCCGATCGAGTAAAATACACGTGTTCCGGCGTGTGCCTAAAGCCAGTCGAAGAGGCGAAGTGAGGCGCTATTTGGACTGCTCTAATTACCGGGGCGGATTGGGACGAACTTAACGTGAGTCCCGGCTTGTACAAGCGGAGAGAGAAACGGGACAATACCCGGGAAGTTCCGGGCGAAACCTTCGGCGTTTATATTCGTGATCAGGATCTTTCCTTAATCCACGCTGCGCGCCTCAAGTGGTTTCGAGAATTGGTCCAAGTCCACTCCACTTAGCAAATACCCCATGAACTTCTGTTGGAGTTGGCAATTATATCGCTCCGAATTCGATCGCGCTGTGCATCTCTCTATCTCTCTTACTTCACGACATAAGACGATATAACGAACCTATAGCCACATTAAATCGTGAACTAATAACTACCCGATAACAGCTTCTATTTTCAATGGAGAAACGTGAATCATCTTTGAATTTACTCCTGAACTTTTAACGATCTGGTATTTAATGCGTCTCTCACAGAATTATTCTTATTTCTATCGCGCAAATTTATTTATGTCACTTATCTCACGGAATTTATTTGAAGGCACGTATAAAAAGTAAGGACTTTATCCGAGAACATAGAGTACAATCCAGCTAACTATTCTATCTCGCGGCGGTATCCCTTTAAATTGTAAGTTATAGGGCTTACACAACTCACAGCTTACGCTCTGAAAAACGTAATTCAATTCACTTACTTAACTCGTCTAGACTAAAGAATGTAGCCACATTATCTTTACTGCTGGTACCGCGAAGAAAGGCGTTTTCCCATCAACGATTGCGGGTAACTTTATTCGACCATCATCGGTTCAAACAACGAAGCATATTAAATTGTAATCAAGAACTTTATCTACAGCGTCGCTTGCTCTTTGACCTACTTCTCTCTTTTCATCGCTGATTTGAGATTAGCATGAAATTAAAATTTGTTTAGCGATAAGAATACAAAGGCAATATTTTTCAAAGTTGGGACAATTTTTTTCTTTTTTTATCAAAGTTTAATTAGACGCTATATTCTCGCTACGAAAAAGATTTTAAACATTGTGCTCGTTACATCTCAGTATATTTCAAGTTTACTAAAATAAACTCCATTTAAAATTAATCGAATGCGATAAATTGTATTTGCATTTCTGAAGGAACGATTAATTTTTGTAATCTAAATGTTCATGTTTTGATATTCTTATTAAGGAGGAAATCATATCGGCTGTCGACACGCGCCATCGTCACGCATGCCAAATGCGTGGTCCATTACCGAACGCAATCCGTTTGATGTTCAATTTCCGTTTGGAATTTTATCTCAACGAAAAATCGGAGTCGTATCAGGCCGAATTAAAGTGTCACGATCCACGAGCGCGGCGCGGCGCGGCGCGATCGCGCGGCGTAGGACAAGGTGGGTGACGTCACGTGTTCTCGGCGGTCGCACGCGCGGGAGGGGTGCGTAAAGCTGGAGGGGGAAACTCGGCTGCGGGCAGGCCATGCCGAAGACTCGTTCCGACGCGGGTGGTGGGGTGTAAGAGGGGTCCAGGCATGGAGAGGGCGCAGTACCGCGCTATCCTCCGTATCGTTGACACGTCGAGCGGAAAGAGTGCGGCGAGAAAGAGAGAGAGATCGAGGAGCGAGTAAGAGAGAGAAAGAGAGAGAGAGAGAGCAAGAGAGACAATCGCGCGTTTACGCGCTCGCGCTTTTATCAATCGACACTCGCGTAATTATCGTGTGCAAATATAATTTGCTCTTCTTCTGTCCGATTACAGGTGTCCGTCCGTGGAGAACTTCCGGTCCCGCGACGCGTTTCGGAGGCGGCCTCGTGAACGCGGTCAGTGGCGCGCGTCAGTGACTCCTCGCGTATACTCTCGATGATCTATCGGTGATCGAATTATCCGGAGCAGATCATCCGCGAGGATCGTCCGCGTTTGCGCGTGGTGAACGTTCTTTTTTTTTTTTAAATTCGCGAGTGATTTGGTGAAATTGTCTCGTGTGTCTATAAGCCCGAGGGAGCCGCTGCGAGGATCCACGATGCTGGCATTCCTGTTCGTCGCGGCGCTCGCCGTCGCGAGGCTCCACGCTAGCCAGGTGACCATGGACGCCAAGATACGCGACGACTCCGACTTGTCTCAGGTAAAAAAAAATTGTTTCCGTTTTAACACCGGTTGTGGCCAGACGCCGCCGCCGCGCCGCGCCGCGCCGTGACGTTACGTCGGGGATATGCGCGACGGCTGTTGCGTGTCCTTGAACCGTCACGCAGGAACGACCGCGCGCGCGAGAGTTGCGTTTTAAATGAACGAACGTATGCTGGTACAATAACGCGTCGAGTATGTGGCCGGCCCGACGGGAAATTTCAATGCAGCGAATGCTCGTCGCGGCCGCGCGATGATTGTGCAACGTGCTGCGTGGCATCATGAACGCAACCGCGATTGCCGCGTCGTTAAGAATCCTCCTCGTGCGAGAGGAGGATCGTTCGCGCGATCGCTGAGTGATCTTGATTCTCTCACTCGGCGTTCTTGCTTTGCTTTCCATGCTGCGTATATTAGGTATTTCCATCGAAAAATATTCAGTAGATGCTAGAAACGTGATGATAGCGAAAAGTGTTTGCGTGAATCATCACATTGAAACTAACAATGCGATCGTTTACAATGGCGCCAATAATTTTTCTAACGAGATAAAAAGCGTTCATAAATGTTACTGTCAAAATCGTCGGGAAATGTCGAAGTGTCAAGGTGGTGATATATTTTTTCGACGTTCTCTCTGCAGTCTCTGCATATCAGCATATATCAAGTTTAAATTACAACCATGATAAAATAACGATGCGCGATAATAAGTTTTCAACAAGTTTAAAAAGAGACATATATAACACATACCGTAACGTATACGTCTGTCAAATAAATTTACTTTATTATCGAAATGGCACGGAAACGTCAGGCGAAAACCGAACATAATTAAATCTGCTTATCTCGCTACTTTTTCTACATTGTTGAAACTTATTAATTTTTCGAAATTTCGTGCGCCAACTTCATTTATTAGAACTGTCGCTTGCAATTTTTTTTTTTTTTTTTAGAGAACCGCGGAAAATCGATTATGTTTTGGAGTGACACTTCTGTCATACGTCACGTCGCTCGATTTTTTTTTCCGCATCAGATCCACGGTTCGACATGATCGGGCGGACCTGCCCACTCAGCGCGATACTTGTTCACTTCAACGTCATTTAATCCTTCCATATCCAGCATGAGATCAGCGATGACTGCAAATCCAATTTTTCGTATCGAAGTGGCTGTGAATTTGTTGGTTGTTGTTATTCATCCATTTTCCGTGTTCATCTCCTATTTATTTTTGATTTGGAAATAATTAATCGCCCAGCGTTATAATTGTAACAATAAATTGAGAAAATGAAATAACAGTAAATTTGGAGTAGTAGTAAAACAAAAACACGAATGATTTGAGAAACGGAAAATGGAAATACGTCGGAAGGATTCGGAGTGTTGAAAGAACGGGAAAATGAAGAAAAACGCAAGAAAAATTACGAGGACTCTCGAGTCTGAATCTCATCTTGGACTATTTCGACAGTCGTCGCAAACTCTCGCGGACAATCGCGGCAAGTTGGAGAGTACCAAATGGCGCTTCGCGTTTTCTTCTCTGCGCGCTCCGAAATTTCAGAGCGATTTGCTTGGGTGGTCGGTGGCACGGCGAGCCGCATCTCTCGCCCAGGTGGTAAACCGATCGCCTGGCTCAACGACGTGTGCAGTCGTGAGAACTTTTCCGGGTGCGAACAAGAGGAAAGGGACGATGTGGGACGGGACGGAGAGAGAGGAGGGGAAGGGGGGAAGAAAAGTTCGTAAATCGGGCGTGCGAGATGTTTCTAACTCGGTTGAATAATGTATGAAACCGGCGGTTATTTACTTCATTAACTTCTTCCACGTGGCCGTAATTAAATTGCGCGAACGGAAAGTTGCGAAACGCCGCCTAACGCCTCTCATTAGCCCGCATTTTTTCTTTCTTTTTTTCTATCCTTATCCGGAATTCATGGCGATCCACGAAGTTTCGTCACCATTCGTCTCGCGTCGAACCACTCTTAATACGAGCCGATAAACTTTCGCACGAAAAAAATAGAAATGTCACACAGTCTTTTGATCCGCCCGTTTTGAAATTTTAATTATCGCCGCGTCGGCGTTATAAAAATTTGATGGGCGCGATACGGGATATACTTAATAAATCGCAGATAATAGAGCGAGTAAAGGGAGAATTACCAGAGGGAATGTCAGCGTTGCTGCGCACCGCGTATTTTTTTTTACAGTGTCATTAATTAACGCGATAATCCAATACCGTCGCGTAAATTTAGCCGTAAACGCCGTGACAGTGCGGAAAGCCGTTACGATTTAACGATCCGCGCAAAATAAGAAGGGACGCATTAACCTCGGTTACAATCGCATTGTAATTTGATTGTAAATCGCGTGCTGCGCAGCCAAACAGCCTCCGCCGCGGAAGATTGATCTCCGATGAATCATCGCGGTATAAATCATTAGAATGAACCTATTGATGAACTATATCATTTATATTACAGAGGCTCATTTCCTCATGCAGAATGAGTCACGAGTTATTGCGTCGAAACGCAATTAATTTAATGTTAAAAGAATTATTTCTATCATCTGCGTTTTCTCTCACCAATACGCGGCTTCAGCGGAGCGAACCTTTTTTTTCGAGGGTTTCGAGATAGACGACGCGGAGTTAGCTTACACGTGGCATATCTTCCATCCACATGCCGGCTCTTTCTCATTACTTCGCCCCCGCTTTTAAGCGAGGGAACCGTGGCAGTCCGGCGCGATGTCTACGCCACGAACGAGCACTCTCACGCACACGCGTGCGTGGGACGTACGCACGCACACGCGTGCACGCAACGTGAGCGCGTCATGCGGCAGAAACGGCAGCACGGCTTCTCTTTCCCTTCCTCTTTCTTTCTTTCTCTCCGGTCAATGACGTGATTTCAATTAGACAGAGCCTCGAGGTGCTTCTTTGTCTACCGGCGCGATCCCCGGCGGTGTACTTAGCCTTTTTCCGCCCAGACAAATCTTAGACGTCATCTTCGTGACCACGATTCGGTCTAATCAGCACGTTCTGGTCGATTAAACCACCCGGCGTAGTGCGCGAAGAGATATAGACATTGTTAGTTAAAATCGCCACTCGTATATCATGTAATAGTAGATATTGATTCTTAGGTCAGCAATTTAGCACGTCAGGAAAAAATTGAATTCGATCTCTTAGAGATCGAATCATATCTCTTAAGATATTGCCTGATGCGATTTTAATATTATAGGATATTTACGTCTATTCTTAATGTCCTTTGACATATCTTCGATCGAGCGAGAAGATTCACAGTTCCTTTCTAATTTGCGCTCGATTCAACTCGGAAGAGCGGCAGATTAACCTCACAAAAGGGCAAGTCGGTCGGCTCAGCATTTTTCATTACGTCAACCGGCCGACCTGCTGAATCACGACGGCCGGGTGCGTAGGAGGAAATTCCACTCTATTAAAAGATCGTGTCGACCCACGGGCTGTGGGTTATAATCCGTAGGTTAAGAGCCCTTCGGCTTGTGATACCTGCGAGCGTATGCGATCCGCATTTATATCCGCCGCGCCGGCAACACCTGCCGCCGCGCCTCGTTGCGTTATACACTGCGCCGATATGAATGGAGACTCAACGGGAGTAACGGGACTTAGCGTGAATATTGCACGAAAAAAAGAGTGAAAGGGCGAGCGAGGCTGTGTGCGCGGAAGAAACCGAGCGTGAGAGAGATAGAGAAAGAGAGAAAGAGAGAGCTGACGCGGCGGCGCGCGGCGCGCGAGAAACGACGGTCGCTCGTTCGCCTTTGACGCTGAATAACGCGGCCTCGTTTAACGAAGACACCCGCTGATTGCGAGATTATTATCGGAACCGGCGCGTGAACGTCGCTGTCAACGGGTTCCGATCGGCTCACATTCCGCTCGGTCAATTAATTGTACTCGCATACGTCGCATGCAGCGTGCTACCGACAGTAGCTCCGTTATATCCTGTATCTATTCAAAGGAATATTCTCACAACGAGGGATATCAAGTACACTATTCAGACCGTCGATATACATTACGTAATATTACTGTCAGGAAATATATAATACGATAAAAAGCGTGATTACTCTTTCCAAAGAATTGGAAAAAAATGACCGTTTGTAAAAAGTATTTAGCTGTGTGAAGTTGGCCTCCTTACTACTAAAAATCCACTAATGGAAAATTCATTACCATGGCACTCGATTGATGGTCATTTGGTAGTATTTGATAGTCCATTGCCGATGAATGGCAGTCGAAGTTGTAAATAACAATATACGCAAAAAAAGATATACTCGCGTAAAATTAGCTCCTTCTTTCGCAAAATATGGCTTTCCAGATTGCGCAAGTAATCGTAACTACCAAATATATGTAATGTACTACCAAATGACCACCAATCGAGTGGTAATGATTGGTGGATTTTCAGTAGTGGAGGGTGGAGGGGGGGGAGGGACAACTTCATACAGTCCCTAAATTGATTATTCGATAATGTAGAAAATTAAATTTAAAAAAAAAAATCGAATATTTCAAATGACACAAACGGTTGCAGGGAGAGGAGGAAAACGGGCACAGGTGTATTATTAGCAACTCGCAGATCGATTGATTTTACATCGCCGCTTCTCTATGCATAACGCTACGAAAAAATTGTTCACAGGGGACATTAGCTCGCGCGTACAGACTTTCCGATGTCAGTATTGAATGAAAGCTGGCGCTCGTCCCGTCGACGACATTACAATAATGCGTTTCTTGCTTCTCTCTCTCTCCCGCCCCTCCTCCGCGGCGCGACGGGGCGAACGATTCCGCCCGGCAACTTGTTGCTGCGACAAAAATCGCCCGGACGGTTCTCGCCGCGGGGTTAGTTTTAGTTCCAATCGATTCGACAAACTATTCCCAAACACGGAGATATCGAGGCCCATTTTCGTGGACTTTATTCAGTCGATTCGATCGATCCGGCCACTTTTTTACGAGTGTAGACGTATGGTCCGGCGCGGCTTGGCGCCGAAATAAAATTTTACGATTCGCAGGTTAGCGGCGCGGCGAATCATAAT